TTACTATGTTGTGTTTGGCTGTTTGAGCTGTAGCACCATTTAGGGCTAGTACTTAAGATTATAACCTATCTAGAATATTGACTGCCGAATTGGGTTGCTTCTTGAACCTGTAGAAGAGTGCAGTGAGCTTGAAACTGGGGTTGTTGAAGAGAACTTTAGCCTGTAGCAGCCCAGTAAGTAGGCTGAAATTAGTGGTCTGTATTTACATACACTTATTAAAGTGAAAACTATATGGGCTTACACTAAAAAAGCAGTTCAAATAAAATTAACATGGTTTCCTACGTACTAAAGCTTCACATTCTTCTTAAGGTTTCTTCTGTAATAGCTGTTTTACAAGTAAAATTCTAGCAGTGGACTTGATCCCTATGTGATACCTTTCTCTTTGCCCTGTTGATTGCTCTCAAACTCTTCAAATTCCCAGGTGATTGAAATAAGAGATTGTGGCTGTATAACACTTATTAAGAAAAAATTCAATCTGGATGCTTAGGTGGTAGGATGACAGGCAAGCCATTTTCATCTGTTCGTATTAACACTGTCTTTGTAATGGGGATTTTAAAGAGTATTCTAGATGGATCACTTCTCTAAAAATGCTTTCTTATTTCTCTCCCTCACCCTCAACAGGTGTGTGATCTGTATGATGGACTTTGTTTATGGGGACCCAATTCGATTTCTGCCGTGCATGCACATCTATCACCTGGACTGTATAGATGACTGGTTGATGAGATCCTTCACGTGCCCCTCCTGCATGGAGCCAGTTGATGCAGCACTGCTTTCATCCTACGAGACTAATTGAGCCAGGGTCTCTCATCTGACTTCAAGTGAACCATCATTTTTGGTGGTTTTGATCTTTTGTCACTGAGCCCAAAGAGCCAGGGATTAGGAATTAAGATCATGCACAAAAGTTTCCTAAAAATTCCTGCATGGCTGCAGGAATTCCTGAATGGCTGCAGATGTTGGGGGAAAAAAGTATGTGATATTTTAGAAACTTAGGGGGAAAAGTAGGAAGGTATTTTTATGTAAAGCCTTGACCCAGTGTTCAAAAATATAATTGTATTTAGATCTTGTTATTGCTCCAGTACATAGGAATTGTGTAAAGTGTTATACAGCAGCTGTATATGTTTAAATTGTGTCTGTTGAAGATTAGGAAAAAGATAGTGGTTGTTTTTCCTAAATGAAATAACTTTCTTCTTCCCCCCCACCCAAATTCTTTTCTCAAGTTGCTGGCATTTGGGTCAAGGTTTTATTAAAAGCTACATTTTATAACACTGGCACAAAAAAAGTAGTTTTAAGCTTGTTTGCACAGTTCTTTTTTTCCATTGGAAATGGAATTCATTGCCTTAGGTCTTTTTAAATAGTGTATTATTATCGTTGGGGCTGGCTCTATGCTTGAAAACCAGTTTATTTATAACCTGTTATAAGTGCTATATCTGTTTGCAGTTAGGAAATGCAGAATTCAAAGTGATCTCCTAGCTTGTAAGCAAACTGAGATGCACTATCCCTTTTCTATAAAAAAATGAGTTAATGTGTCAAGAAACCAACTCTAGTAAAGTGGGGTTTAATATTACCCTTTCTTATGTGTTTCACCTAATTATTTTGGTTGTTAATATGGTGATAATTAAAAGTCAAGGTAAATTTTAAATATTAAGAATTCTGATTTATTGAGCTTGAATTATGCCACCATGCTTATGTAAAAATGAAAGTGGCACCATGGTTAAACTGAGAAAAGTTTCTCAGTTGCAACAATTTTGATTTATTCTTTCCTGTGACCTCCTTCCCTGTTGTCTTGAACATAGCAAAAGGATACTGCATCTCTTCTTATTGTAGTGCTGAGGTTACTGAAGTTATATAAAAACACATCTCTGTTTCTGTTGGAAGGACAGTCCTGCTAGTTGACTGACAATTCTAAGCAGGGAGAATTAAGATAAATGTGTTTCATGTTTTGCACACAAATGCAGAATTTGTATAACCACATGACTTCATAGTTGTGATCTCAAAAAAGAAGGAATTTCTCTTTTATCTTTTTCTTGCAGTTAATATAAGAACACTGAATCTCTAAGCTTCTGAAGTGTTAGAGGTAGAGATGGTCTAGTAAAGATGTAGTTGTAATGTTTTATCCATTTAGCATGTGTTTATTTTTCTTTATGTACTCGAAGGTGACATATTTGTACAACTCAGTGATATTACAGCTAAAAAATCATTCATTAGCAAAAGGAGAAGCAATCTCAACCCAACAAATCAGAAATGTTTCTTTTTATTTTATATTGAGTTGAATATTTGACTTTAACACTTTTCTACATACAAAACACAAGTCTCTTGAAGGGTTCTTCATAATTGCATTATAGAAGAATTTAGTATGTCATAAGCACTTAAAGATTTGACATTCAACTGTAGCAGTATCCATGTTGGTTAATTTTCTTATGAGCCCCATGATGAGTTCGAGAAAAATTGAAAGAAATTAGATTATCAAGTTCTGTTAAATTGTTACATGTATCTTGCTTAAGTTTTTGTTCATTAATTTATATCCAATTACATAAAGCAAATTTGGAGGAAACACCTGAAGTTGTGCAATATTTTCAGCGGTATTACTTTTTTTATCTTTGTGTTTTCTACTTAAACATGATGTCTGTCATCAAGTATTATAGTCACTTTCTTTTTTTCTAGATTGTTAAAATTGGTAAATGAACTTTTTTTTTAATCATCTTCTGTGTTGCTGTTAGTCTTTATTACAAGGCTTCTTTCACAGAAGTTTGGCAGTAATATTGAAGGAACCAGGATTGAGCTGAATGCTTTTTTTTTTTTAAGGTATTTTGTATTCTTTAATTTTGATTTCCACATACCATGTTAAGAACCATCAGTTTTGGCTTTTACCAAGTTAAATAAAGTTATAATACAGTTGTAAAGGGCTAAAGTTAGAATTGATTACATAAGAATATTCTGATCCTTTCTTTAAAACACACATGTATAAATTTAATTACTTAAAAATTTCTAGGTATATATACTTTTGGGGAAGTATTTTTTATGGCTTGGCATTTAATACCATCTAATCATAAATTTAGAAGCTTGATAGCTTCTAAATTTTCTTAAGCCAAATAATAGGTACAACATATTTGGATTTGGGCAAGATATGTTCAGGCTTGGCTGTAGGATTTGAGATGTCTGGAAAGCCTGACCAGGAAAAAATAAAAGAATCTTACTCTTTTAAATGTAAACCGAACAATTTGAAATACTTTCAGATACTTGTAGTTTGGTTCACACAAACCTTTTAAATGCTATGAGTGTTCTTTATAAGACATCTCAGGTATTAGAAGACTCTCCAACTACTTTCGGTTGTCTGTGTAATATAAAACAGAATATAGTGAGCATTGAGGTAACAAATTTTCTGTGAACAAAGCTCCTTCTTAAGGAAGCATGCATTTTAAAAAAGGAATAACAATAAAGGAGTCCAAAGCAGAACTGCCTATGGTCCTGAGACTGAAAATGGCAAAGAGGAAAGAAGGTAAGTTTCTTTGGCATAGTTCGGAAATGTAGGCAATTGGTGGCCATGTTTGCTTACAAAGGCATTGGCTAGCAATCAGTTTCTCAGAGTCAGCTGATGACACTTGCATGTTAAACGCATCAGAGCTAATCAGCTAATTTTTTAAGCCTTTAATTTTGAAATTGGTGGACATGAGAAAAGGTGGATTTTGGTTAGTATCTCCTGAAGTAATACTAAATTTACCCACCTGAATTTAAAGATCATCTATTCTTTTACTGGGTATGGAAAAAGTTAGTGAAGATAGTTTGTAACCCCTCCTTCTCTACCCTATCTAGCTCCCCTGTTCTAGTCTTACACTCAACTAGACTTCCCTAAGACACAGGCCTGGTTCAGATGTCCCCATCATGTGAGGCATGGGAATGAGAGCCATCAGCGTCCTATGCAGTCTTATTCTGACTGCATTATATTATTCCTTTTGAGAACATAGCTGAATTCCTTATAATTTCTTCCCCCTTGGTCCCACTTTCTAAGTATTTTGCCATTATTAAATTAAAAAGTGTGGAGTAAAAATGTCCAACTATGAAAATTTCCATCTTTGCATTTAATGTCATTACTGATTGACCCACTGTTAGGTGATTTACCTAAGAGCTACCAAGAAGTGGTCTCTGAAAGAATTTTTTCTCAGTTCTGTATTGTCAGAATAGGTGTTTGCTTATGGCCAGGCAGTGAGTGGTTTAATGCTCATAATTCAGATTTAGAGAGGACTTTAGTTTGTAGTAATTCAAGTGAAACATAAGGGTTTAATGGGAGGAGTAACTGTAAATGCTTGATTACATTATATAAAACACCTTAAAACAGTACTTTTTCTGAGTGGTTTGAAAGATGTAGTAAGTTCATTTTATATATTTAGAGAAAGTTAGCTGGACTATTTGTTAGTTCTCTCTTCACATAAAGTACTGTTTTTAACTAGAGAAAAATAACATCTTTTTTTTTAAGCTCCTAAGAGTTACATTGTAACACATTAACGTTTATATTAAAATGACATATAGAAGTTAGTAAATGGATGAGGCACATGTATCTGGGGAATATTAATTTAAATATACTTTGTAATCCTTTTTCTGAGAGCCTCTGGTTCTAAAAACAGCAGTGCTGGGTGATTATTTATTCAGCTATTGATTGTCCTGATACAAGTATCCAGACTTTGCTTTTCCATTTATCCTTTGGCTGTTTCCTTGCTCTTTAGCATGGATGAAAATCCAGATGAATCCCTTTACAGCCCATTTCCTGATCCATAAAATTTTTGTTAGAGGCTTCAGTAAAATTTTACAAAAGGGGTTTGGATTTATCTGCACATCTTAATTGTTCACATTGTTCTTGTTTGCCTTATCACGCTAAGCAATGGTCATTAGCCCAGGATAATAACTGGATCCATATAATTAATGTTACTGATAGACTGAAACCATCTACCATCTCATACATTTTTTATGGAAACTTTAAGAGATACTAACTTTCTTTTACATTTTTGTTTTTTGAGAAAACTAACTGTCCACTGGAAGATTTAGTCATCTTTGGATGCTTTCCACAGCAAGTTTGGTTTTCTCTGCGTATGAATGAAGCAGCATTATCAATAAGGTACAGATTTTAGGCATTTAAAACTGATTGTGATCAAAGGATGAGCAGTGCCTGTTTACTTTGAATACATTCTTATCAGTGTGTAACAGCAGTGCTTATCGACTAGATTTCTTCATGCGGAGAAAATGAAGTTGAAAAAGGTAACTGAGGGTTTACTTCAAGAGTCTGGTCATAGTGATGAATGCTTATGAGAAGATGTGGTTGGCTAAGCAAGTGATGGGCCCAGCTTTTCTCTGGGGGGCCATATAATAGTTAATCTAGTCATTCAGGATCCAAAAGCAAGTCTTAGGTGTTGTGTGAATTGGGAAGCCTGGACTGTGCTATCAGATTGGCTTCCAGCACTATCCATACCAGAGGTATGGGGATAAGCTACATTCTGCCAATTCCGGGATCACAGCCTGTCTTCGGCTTTGAGCTAGTGCAGAATAATGATCTTCTTTCCATGACGGTAGCTGAACTCAAGCAGACAGGTAAGTTAATGGCTACAATTTTAGGGTATGCAGTGAAGGGAAGTTGTTTTTCACAAACCATTTGTCCTCATGGCCCTTGACAATCACTGTCCATGATGTTATTTTGATATGAGGAATAATAACCATTCTTCTTTTCAGTAGTGAGATGGGTGCTAATGGCGTTGTCAGGTTGGTCATTTTTGCAAGCCTTGTTCTCAGGATTATTTATTTCTGAAACTTTGCGTTAATGGCATTGAAGATACCTTTGAAGTAAGAGATCATGTTTATGGGTTTGGATTTTTGATAAACTGGGTTGCTGATTTCTCATGAAGAGTAAAGAACAAGAAATGCCAACTCACATTGACTCTTAGAGCCTGATTATCACTTAGCAGCATATTGAAAGGTTTTTTTCCCCGTAAGTGTGGTAGCTGGTGCAGGGAAGAGGAGGTATTTTAATGGCAATTCTCATGAAGCAGAAGCAATTGGTGCTGTTGGCCTTTGGCATGGCACTGACCTCCCAGCTTCCATGTTTAACCCTGTATAGTACATTCTTCACACAGCAGTTAAAATAGTTTTGAGTAAACTGGATGATGTCTTTCATCTGCGTAGAACTTTTAATTGCTTCCCATTGTGTGGAGAATAAAATCCAAGCTTCTTAATGGAGACAGCAGACTTTCTGCCTCTCTCCTTTCATAGTACTCTACTTTCTAGACTTTTTTGTGTGTGCTTTCTAAAATGGCAAGCTCTTTCCTGTCTCAGATCTTTTGTAGTTCCATCCTGTAGTTCACTTCCCCAGATTGTTTGATGGCTGGTTTCTTACCCTCTGGACCAACAGCCCCTGTTTATTTACTCCATGGCTCTAATTTGTTTACTTTCATGAGAGCAGGACATTTAGGTGCTCAACAGATATTTATTAAGTGAAGGGAAGGAGAAAGCAGGGAGGAAGAGAAGCCCTAAGGAATCTGAGCATTTCTGATGGAGTGGGAGCCACCATCAAGGAGGTTCCCATGGAGAATTGGGGCCTTATAAAGATCGCTGAGGGTTGCAAGGAGAAGGAGAAAGGCAAAGCTCTTCCTGAATGGGCAGCTTTCTAATAAGCCTTGTCTCTAACCAGTACTGCCCTCATCCTCCCCTTCACCTGAGAATGTTGGCAGGTCATAGTTCCTGTATGTCAACTTTTGAAAGAAAGGACATATTGGATACATGTTTTTGTCTGCCCAGTACCCCATCTTTTTTAGTAATAACTCCCAACCGAGCATGTAATCCAAGATAGACCCATTGTAGTCCCTCACTCCCTTTCCAAGGCAGTGGTTCTCAGGCTTCAGTGTGCATCAGATCCACTTGGAGGACTTGTTCAGGTGGTTCGGCCTCACCCCTGCATCAGGGGGAGGGGGGGCTGATAATTTGCATTTCCAACAAATTCCCTGATATCTAATGCTGATCTGGGGAACCACTGGCCTAAGGGATGGACATTCAAGCCAAGTCAGACTAATCAGAGTCCTTATCTGGGGATTTTTCATACTGGAGGTAGGAAAAGGAGCCCTTTTCTTGTCACAGAGCTGTAAGGACGTAAGGTCTGAACTGCCACGCAGAGAAGTCAGTCCAAGAGAATAAATCTAACACAAGAGCAAAGCCAAGAGATGGAGAAGGCCTGATGGATGCACTAGAGCCATTGATTCAGTCATCCCCTAGGCCAAACTCACCACTGCCTTCCCACAGTATGTGTGGGCCAATACATTTACCTTCTTAATATACTGAGGACTGTGCGAGCTGCTTAGTTGATTTCTTTTTTTTCTCAGCAGTCCTGTGAAGCAGTTGGCATTGGCCCCATTTTACAGAAGAGTAAACTGATTCTCAAAGCAGAATAATTTGAATTCAGTCTGTACTTTTATCCACTATTATCCCATGTAATTAATATAATTTAAAGTTGCTATTTTTAGCAGATCAGGCTTTTCTCTTATGAATTTGCTCACCACCTCTTTAACATAGATAGTTGTCTGAAAGTCACCTTTAGCCCAAGGGTGACAGATTTCTGGCCCATGGACCACTTTGACCCACAGGTGTGATATGTTTGGCCAGCCAGCACTCTTAGGTGCTTAAACTTAAAATTCTAAGAGTGCCTTCAGCATCATATGCTTCCTAGTTTGTCAGTGTTCCTACCTCTTACTGCCTTACACCAAACCTCTTCTAGCATATGGTTTGGACTCAAGCCTCAGTCCAGGCCTGAGCCTCTGCATCTGTTCACTACCCATCTCTGGAGTAGCTGACTGGAACTCTACCTATCCAGCTGGGGATTAGATCGTGTCTTTTCCTTCAACATCCTGATGATTTTATGAGCAGTATGGTGCTTAAGGATTGCCTTTGTCCAAGATAGACCCTGTCCCTACCTCATGATGCCAAGTGCCACAGGGGAACCGTGCCACACAGGCATATGCTCCATGTGCTCCACGCCAGGGATTTCTAGTGTTTGAGTTACCAGCCAGTACCTTTTCCATACTTAACAGTGGCCCAAGAGTCAATGTAAGTCAGATCCGACTTTAAGCTGATAATTTGAAAGCTTGACCAGCAGTTCAGGAAAGCATGAGCTTTAGAGTTCAGCTGCCTGACTTCAAATATTTCTGATGCATAATAGCTGTGTGGTCTTAAGGCAAGTTATTTAACCTATGTCTCAGTTTTCTCATCTGTAAAATGGCAGTAATAGCTCCACTTCAAATGTAAAGTACTTAGAATCACAACTGGTAAATAGCACTTAATATTAGCTAGTATTATTCCACCGAGGGCATATGGTATCTGGTGTTATGAAGTGTTTGTTCAGGACATGAAGAAAAACAAAACCATCCTATCCAGTCATCTATGAGGTGTTAGCTGTGATGTGTCTGATTAAACTTGAACGTCAGCTTTTAGAAGTCCATAGTGACCTTCTGTAATTGCATGTCTTACCAAAGTAAGGGCTCTATTATATTTTGTCACTTGAGAGCTGACTAGACAGTAGAAGCAACTCATAGATTGCTTACTTCGAAATGGATTTTTCAGATCCCTAAATGAGGCTCCTTGTTTGTGGACTGACTTACCCTGTTGGACAGTGATGAACTTGGTACCAGATTTCCACAGAGCTGTGCTAATCCAAGAAGAAAGGCACTTTCCAACCTTGGAAAGCTGCATCTGAGGGCGAGGGTGAGAAGTTCCCATTTGCTGCTTGGTTTTCAGAATCCAGACACCTCTCACTTACTACTGAATTAGTGTGATGGTGCTAAGGACATAAGAAAACTGTTAAAAAGGCACACTGTTGGGCTTTAAATTTGAAGCAGAGAAGAAGACTGTTGTCCACTCCCTATCATCTTAGAAGAGATAAACTTGGGAGTAACTCCAGAGAAAAGTGTCTTTGGATTTTATTCCCTCATCGAATGATTGCAGCACTCAGCAGGCTGGGGCTTTTTAAAATCCTCCTGATGCTCCCTTCAGTTGCTGGGAATCTCCCACCTGGACCTCAGCCTAGTGTTTGGTTGGCGTTGGCCTTTTAGGGCCCTGGCTTTGCTGTCAGGTCGTGGCTTTTTTTGCTGTGAATGACGACAGCTGTCTTGGAAACACTCCCATTCTGACTTGAGAGATAAGGAATAGGGAATCCTGCCAACATATGGGAGAGCTGATAGGGACCAGCACAGTGCTGGAAGCTACCCTGCCAGTCCAAGGCCTGGGACCAGTGAGAGGCAGAGGTAGCCTTTCTGTTGCCAAGAGCCTATTCAGAGCATGTTACACAGTTGCTGCTTCCTAACAACTGAGTTCCTCTGTGTGGCACAGGATTCAGACTTTCCCCAAATGAGGATTATTTGCTCTCTGGGTGTCCTGGGAGGAAGGCTGTCATCACTTCTGGTAAGCAGCCTGGTGGCACAAGGCTTTGACAAAAGGTAGGAAGGTATATATCTTGCCTCTTTTTGGAGATGAAAGCCCAGAAACAGACTTGACCAGACAGAATCAGAACTGTTGACAGCAGCAAAGAGCCTTAATCTAGTCCAAATTACTAATTTTTAGAGGGTCCATGACTTTCCCAAGGTCACTCTGAAAGGCAGTAGCAAAACAAGGACTAGAATTCAGGTCTCCTTATTTCTAGGCCAAGACTCTCCTCACCTGATCAGGTGCCTCTCCAGGGCAGATGTGCTGGAAAGGTCTGCAGTGTTAGAGAAGCAGTGACCAGAAACGGCTCAAGACGCAATGAGAAGCCCATGACAGAATTTTCACCTTCAGAGGCCTCTGCACAAGGATATGGTGGTGTCAGACACCCAGCATTTTCACCTTCACATACATTTTTTGTTTGTTTTTGGCCACGCCACTCGGCTTGCGGGATCTTAGTTCCCCCACCAGGGACTGAACCTGGGCCACGGCAGTAAAAGCACTGAGTCCTAACCACTGGACCACCAGGGAACTCCCTCACATACATGTTTTTGATGGACTAACTCAAGCTGCAGGTAGGAATAAAGGAGACAGAACTCATAGCCAGACTGCAGCCAGAGGTAAAGGTGACAGAGGCTAATTAATGAAGCCCAGCAGGAAACAGCAACAACTAGGAAACCATCCTGGCATAAAAATTTAAAAATAAAAGCACCTAAGATGAACATTGAGATGAAAGTGTTTTGCAAACGGCAGTTTTGCGAATTATATGTTTGGTATCCTGTGACCGGCGCTGCTTTTATACTGTAATAGGTAGCATTCTAATATGTGAGGGAGGACAACAGGCCACCTTCATTCAGCAGCCTGGCTCTAGTTCACCCCTTTCACCTGCCCTGTCCAACAACCTGGAAGTAGGCTGGGCTCCCAGCATTCAGGCTGTGGAGGAGAGAGAGCTTGCAAAGGACTTGCCCTCTGTGGAAAGCACTCTTTTGTCTAGTTCTAACAAAATAAACAAGGAGTCTTCCTTTCATAGCATTTCTGCTGTGACAGTACAGTAAGTGCAAAAGGGGACTTGGATGAGGGTTTTCGGCTTTGCTTTCCTAATGAGAATATGCTTTACCTAAAACCCATAACTTCATTCAGCATCAACCGCAGGAAGCTTGGTTGTGTATTAATAGATTAAACCACCTAGCTTCTGGCAAATGCTCAGAAGTGTTTGCTAAATACAGCAGGCTGGAAGACTGGAAAAGTTGTCTTGTGGTTCTTCCTTTACAGAAACTGCATTCAGTGTTTGAGGAATCACATTTCCACAGATGAATATTTTTACCAGGAAAATGGTTAAGTTGAAGTATGCTGTTGTTAGAGTGTGAATGGTAAAACTTGGTGTTTGTTGGTCACTGAACTTGAGTCCTCACTTTAACAGTCCCACTGGGTGCAAATTCAGATGTTTTTAGGCGCCAGAAAGATTATAAGTGTTGAAAAGAGCCTCTACTCAGCTCCAACTGATTGTTGCCTTGTGGGAATGAGGCCCAATATTGCCAGATTATTAAAATAAGATGCCAGAAACCAGATTTATTTGTGAAATCTCCCCATTTTAAAATGTTAGTAACTTATTCTAAAAATTTTAAAACATCATGTTGGCTAAATAAAACATGCCTGAGCCATATGACTTCTGATTCAAACTTTCTGCCCAGCCTAAGAATTCAAGCAACAACATATTTTACTGAAATAGATGTTGCATGATCTCTTAAAGTGTATAAGTTTTATTACTTAAATATATCTTTTCTCTTAACTGAAAAATCTGAAACACACAAACAGGCCAAGAATAACCATTCTGTTTCTAAGAAAAACGCTGTCGGTAAATAAGTGTACCTCGAAGGGAAATACAGAAGATTTTTATGTTTCATAAATCATTCCCAGTGGTTTCAATTTGGCATATAGCAGACTGGTGTCTGAGAAACTTTACCTGCCAAACTTCTTGGCTTTGGCACAGAAAGGGCTACAGGGCTCCCCCTTCCTTCAGGCCTCGGTATCGCTATTCCTTAGTGGCGAAGATTGATTTTTTTTTTCTACAGATGGACTCAAAATTATCTCACTAAAAAGATGTGTTTGATTTTTTTTAAATTGGAAAGTTGTTACAAAGGGAGTGTAAGAAGGAAGGTAGTGGGAGTGTGTGAAACCTCTATGTCCAACCCCCAGAAACCTCAAAGCCTGCAGTGCAGATCCTCCTTTGGGTCCTGCCAGCCCTGGAAGCTGAGACCTCGCTCAAATCTGAAAAGCACTTTGGCCCTTGGCATCATAGATTTGCCTCCACATCAGTAGGGGTTAAAACAGTGATTTACAGGTGGTTGGTTGGTAGTTTTTTCCAAAGCTTTGATCCCATCAATGTATTTCTAAGGAAAATGTAAACTGTTTATACATTCTCTTAAACATCACAGTGAAAAACAAGTACCCGTATATGTGATAGGGTAGGCAGAGGGCTCCAGCAACTCTGTCCTTGGCAGAGGCCCTTGGCCACACTGGTGAAAATGCCAGCTTCGCTTCTGCACAGATACCTATGTCGTGTCATCGCACTGGAGCACTGGTGGACCCCAACGGCAGGGCAGGGGGAGGGGATCTTTTTGAAATGTTTCCAGGAGCTCTGTCCAGCTGACTCTGTCTTCCAGCCTGGGAATGCTGCACAAAACTACAAGGGCATTGATGAAACCATGGATCTGTTGCCATTCTCTAGGGAAGACTTGGCTTGGAGTGTGGCTGCCTGGATTCGAAAATGTGTCCTTGATTCCATGGAATAATTCTTATAATTTTGCCTGGAAGAAGCCAGAGAATCAGACACATGAGGCTGCTCCAGGAAGTGCTTTTCCTTTAGTCTGAACTGTGGGAGCCCACTAGCCAAGCAATATTTTTAGAGGCTTAGATCCCTACCTCTGTCTAAAGAAAGAGTTGGGCCCTGACTAATAGAGATTACCTGTTACCATGCCCTCTGGTGCCACTGTTGGTCCCTGAGCTTGAAGGAGAGGTTTCAAGAGGTAGATCCAAGGGCTGGAAGGCAGGAGACCTGCATCTTCACACCAGCCCTGCAGCTGGCTTGTGGTGTGACCCTCAGTCCCTGATGCTGGGAATATCAGTTCCTCATTGGTAAATTGAGGAAGAGGCCTCCCCTATGCCAGGTGAGAGCTGGGTTCCCCAGGGACATGGGCCCAGCCTCTGGGCTGCCTATACTGCCTCTGCCTGCATCCTCCTCCCTCACTGCTGCCTGGCCTCTTCTGCCCATACCCTGCACTCCATGGGGAACAAAGGACAGACCAAGGGCAATCATGCCTTACTTGGCAGTTTCCAAGAGTTTGACAGCCTCTTCATTTCTGCCTTGCTCCATAAACAGCAGGGCCAGCTCCAGCAGGGCATTTGGGATCAAGTAGTGGTCATATTTAATCCTCTTTTCACTGCAGGACAGAGGAAAACATGGCTTACAGGCTCTGCTCTTGAGACATCCTTCAGGCATGTCCTTCAGACTCCTCCTGAGCCTCTCCCCAGTGGCAGGATCCAACTCATGGTCTTGTGGGGTTTTCTGATCTGAATTCCAGTTTGGGAGGGTTCCCACTACCTAGCCCTAGAAAGGCTTAAGATTCCACAGGAAAGCCTTCCGATCCTCTGCACCTGGGGCCCCAAGTCCCTGACAACCTATGGTTCATGTCATGTCCTTAGTTAGCCCACCCCCACCTCAGTCCCCAACCCCCCCTTTATTTCATCTGCAACCCTTTCCCTCTACAACCTCACCCAGGCAGGGAAGGACCTGACCACTGTCACCCAACCTCAGGTGTCTTTCCTGTGTCCAGGCATTTGCACATGCTCTACCTACTCCACTTAAAACTCCTCCTTCCTTGCTTTCTCTGCCTGGTAAACTTCCCAATTTAAGTGGCATCCCTGGAAAGCCTTTCCTGGTATCTAGCATTATTAGGTTTAGGTCCCTCCTCCTGGCACCTGCTGTCCTCTGCTTTCCTCTAGCACAGCCCCTCACCATACCAGATTGAGTTGCCTGTAGCTGTCTGTCTCTCTAACAGCTGCACTCCCCAAGGGCAGAGTTGATAAATTACAAACTCCAGGAGGCACCATTCACACGAAACTCATTATGGATGGCCTCCTATAGTTGGGCAATCTGGTGGCCCTAGAGGACAACGTGGGAATGATCTGTGCCCAGCAAGGGTCCTGGCACAGGATAGACACTAGTACATGTGGAGCGAGTAGGGGTAGTCCAGAGTCAGGCACTGTGCATGTGTGCATGAGGAAAGAGAAGCCCAGAAAATGCTGCCCTGGAGCCACGGGCCCAGCAGCAGGCCATCTGGAGTGGGAGTGGCCACAGAGGCACTTACTTGGCAGAGATGCTCCTGAAATTCTCCTCGGCCTCCTGGACACGGCCCAGATATTTCAGACACAGGCCTTTCAGCAGCTTCACCAAGCACTCATCATCCACTGAGTACTCATTCTCTGAGAATAGGGGAGTGAGGGAAGACGACAGGTTTGTTCATTTTTTCAGCAGTTACTCATGGAGCCCCTACTCTGTGCTGGGCCCTGGGGAGACAGAGGCGGCTCACACATGGTCCCCATCCTCAGGGAGCTCACATCTGGGGAGGAAAGACAGATACTGAGACGATGACAATACAGTGATACCAGGACTGATTGAAGGAAGCCCGGGGGTTGTGGGAGCCCAGAAGAGGCCCTGACCCTACCTGGGGGACAAGGGACAGCTTCTTGGAGGAGCTGCCACTGAAGCTCAGTCTGGAAAGGCAAAGGACAATTACCAGGGTAGAGAAGTGAGGAAGGACGTTTTTGGTAGAGGGAATCTTCAACTGTAAAGACCTGTGGTCTGACCCAGCCTGGCAGGTTCAAGGGCCTGGGGGTAGTCACCTGGGCCCTTTTCCAGCAACTCTTCAGTCTTGGTGATAATCTCAAGTATCCCGTCTGTGAGTTCCGGCTGCTTCCCAATCACAGCGTAGCCATTCCAAATGTACATCATTTCCTGGGGGCAGGGGAGCAAGTCAGTCCCAGCTTTCCTCCCCATTGGGGCCTCAAGTTTCCCCATCTGTAAAATGGGTAGCTCAGATCAGAGGATCACTAAAGGCCCTTCTAACTCTAGAAGTCTCAGCCCAGCCTTTGAAGCTGTGGACTTGAGGGAGTTATGGGGAGTCTTAGCTCTTTCTTACTATTGAGATCTCCCCTTACCCCAGTGAGAATTTAAGATGGACCCATATTCTCACTCTTCTGCTCATAGCTGCTGATAGTTTTCAGTTACTTTTCTGCTCATGGCTTCCTGGGGCACTACTCTGCTCTCTCCCAATCTCTCTGTGCCCACACTCTTCCCATTCTTTGAGGACCAGGTCATGCCCCACACTCTCCAGGGAGTCCTCCTCCTTGCTTCAGCTAATAGGGCCTCCTATATTGGAGGAACCATAATTTACTTAAGCACTTCAGGAGCTTAAGACCATGTTACCTTCTCTCCTATTTCGCCAAGGCACTGAGCGTGAGTATCCATCTATGAAACATACCTGATGCCTTTTTTTGCCTTAACTGCCAGGAAGTTCAGAATACTAAATCAAATTTTCATTCTAGTAATTGTGTTCGCTTAGATTAGCATTTCCTAAACTATCAAACCAGGCAATGGATGTGAAAGTGACTTGTATACATAAAGTTCTAGAAAGGCTTTTGTTATGGCTTTTGTTATGTTCCAGGGAGGGATTTTAAGTTTAGACAAGGTTTTATCAAGTTGTTATATGGTCTCAAGTTAGCAAGTGTTCCATTAAAAGATTGTTCTGTGGCCAAATAAGTTAGGGAAAAACTGCATCTTCAAGCTTCTCCTTGGAGACCTACCATGCAGATTAGCATAGAAAGGCTCCAAGAAGGTCTACGGTATATAAACTTGGTTTAGGCCAGTCTTCCCCAAATGTATTTAATCACAGAAATCATTTTATGCACAAATAGCATTTTTCAGATTATAGTTTTGGAAATTCTCCCCTAAATTTCTCGTATAGTTGCTTCCCCTGCCCCCATTTGATAATTGCTTTGTTGTATATTTTAACCTGTAAAATAGCTCAGATTTTATTTAAAGATATTCAGGATACGAGCTCTAAATAAATTCTACATAAATATTGAACTTTTTGATTTCTAAAGTGTTTAACATGTTTTATCAGCTGATTCTCATAACTGCCCTATGAAATGGGCAAGGAATATATTATTATTTACATTAAGGGAAAGGGGGCCCTACACAGGGTCACACAATTAGTGAATAGCAGAGCCAGGTCTCTGAAGCAGCACCCTTTCTACCTTTCTGGCTGCCTTATTATTTGAATAACAAGGACTCTTAACAAACTAGAAACTTCTCTGATGCCTGCTCAAATCATGCATGGAATTAGCTTCAAAACCATGGTTCAGAATATGGGCTCTGGAACCAGACTACCTGGGTTCAAATTCTGGCTAACTCACTAGCTATGGGACTTGGACAAGTTATTTCATTTTTCTACTTACATCTTATCTACTTAGTAGATATTTTATCTTCCTCCTTATCTATTAGGCCTTATTATCCCCTTCTGTAAAATGGAGATGCCACCAGCACCTACTAAGAGGGTTGTTGTGAGGATCAAATGAGGCCATAGGCAATGGGTATAAGGAGCCTTGAACACAGCAAGTGCCCAATAACGATGCCAGCAATTGCTGTTATTTCAGAGTTGACTGTAATATAACATGGTCCCAGCCTCAGAAAATCTTGGTCCAGTGAGGGCGGGACAGTGTAAACAACAATTCTAATCGTGTGACAAGACAGAAACAGGGTGGAAACACAAACAGCCAAGGGATGCCTCTGCCTGGGAACAGGGGTGTGGGGCTGTCTGGGGGGGCTGCTCTTTCTGCCTTGAGGTGCCTGCAGCCGACGCACCTGTCTCTCCACCCCCATCCCTAGTAGACCAGTGCTTTCTCAGAGGTTGAGGCAGGCTCCAGCTCATCTGTGTCCCCCACCCAGTACCAGGTGAATTGTAAAATCCTCTCTAGGCCCCTGAGGCATGAGGTCTTCTTCCCTCATCCACTTCCCCCGGGGCCAGTGGCTATATCCCTGGATCTCAGCTCATCCCCACAATCCCAAACTGGAGTTCAGAGCCAGTCAAGGCCCTCCTACCCACCAGAGCAGGGATGGGCAATGAGATGGGTTTGGAGGAGAGGTAGCGTCTGGACTTCCGGATGGCAAACTTCTCTGTGGGTAGAGATTTCCCAGCAATCTTGAGTTTCAGGCCCGGCACAGCTCTGTGGAAGAGATGAGGAGGGTGGGGAGAGGGTGAGAAAGTGCTAGAAAGGACAGAGTCCCCAGCCTCTGCTTGGCCCCTCTCTGGGCCTCAGTTTCCCCATGTATATGATGAGAGTGTTGGACTCATAGCCTGTGGCTATGGCCTTATTTCACAGGCCCTGCCCCAAGACCCGAGCACTTCCTAGGGCTAGGCAAGGGGCTCTGCAGCAGCAGCAGCAGCAGCAGCAGCAGCAGCAGCAGCGGGCAGAGGTGAGAATGTACACAAACCCCCCAGGCCTGCTCTGCCTTTTAGTCGTCCCTCTCTACTCCCAGCCCCCATTTCCTAAGGGCCCAGTGGAAGTCTGACTCTACTTTCACAGAGGAGATTAAAACTCATAAAGGGAAGGACCTGCCCAAGACCACACAGCACAAACCTTTCATTAACTTTGGCCACGTGAGTTGTGGCCTCCTCAGCTGTTCCCAAGGGTACGGTAAAATGTGGTATGCAGCTGGGCAAGCCTCCACATCTGGGGCCTCACCCACCCAGCTCCGCCTTACCCTCCATCCCTGCCATAATCATGGGGGTATGGCTGTGACCTTCAGAACCTGAGCTGTCCAGGCCCAGCAAACAGCTGGACCTAGTTGTGAGGTCCCCCACCAAACACCTCCCCTGCTTATTCACTGTGGAACCTCTTCTGGGCCTGCTTTCTCATCCCTAAAATGGAGACAATGATATGAAAGGGAGAAGTTGTTACCCCCAAATATGCTTCTTAGGCATAAAGATTATTTTAGGCTGATTCTTTTTAAGAAACAGCAGACACACAAAAAGCTCTGAAAACCTAGTAGAAGTTACCTTTTTGTACGAGACATTTACATTTATAAGGGAAATCTCCATTTGTAAGGTTATCTCTCTCTGTACCAGGAAGAGGAGGATAACTAAATCTCTAGAAACTTATCAGTGGAGAAGGCAGAGACTTAAATCTGCATAACCACCACATACCCTCTTTTACCTGAAAACCTCCCATAACTGGCTCCCTATGCCCCCAGATCTTTTGTCCTTTAGCTGGAGATGGCACTTAAGGTAATGGCTCGGGCCATTTCAGAGAGTTAGCTCAGTCTTCCTGAGTCTCTCCCACGTATACAGGAGTTAGTAAACTTCTGTTTGCTTTTCTCCTGTTAATCTTATTATGAGGGTCTCAGCCAAGAACCTAGAAGGATGGAGAAAAAATTACTCTTCCTCCCCCACAGATTCTTACCCTCACAGATCTTCTAGAAGAGTTACATAAGATGGAGACACAAAGTTACTCAGTAAATGATAAACACTCTGTGACTGTGACAGCCCAGGAAGCTAGGGTTACCTAGCATGTTGCATGTTGGGGCCAACCCTCACCATGACTGGAGGAAAGCCCTAGGCTCCATCCTCAGCCTGCCATGGCTGAGCCCTGCTCTAGGCCCTTTGCTGAAGGCAAACACAGTAGTGCAGATAAGAATAAAAACAGCTGCCATTTATTGGCTCCAGGCCCTACCCCAGGCTCTTTAAATCTGTCCTCTTTGATGCGCAGAACGACACTGCAGAGGCAGAGGTTGTTATTCCCATTTTACAGATCCTGAAATTGTCCAAGGTGACACAGCTAACAAATGGCAGAGGCTAGATTTTATCCTGTTTATGTGATTCCAACTCTGCTTTTCTGAGTGGATCAGGTTAACTCAGCAGAAGGAAACTCTCTGGACCTCAGTGTCCACATCTGTCCTACTCTCCAGGTGAAAGAGGTTCAGTGGAAAGAATGTTGACAAAACGACTTTTGTGAAAGAAAACCTCTGAATGGATTCAAAGGGCTCTCACCAGCGGCAGCAGGAGGCCCCCGGCTATGGGACGGAAGGACAGGCACGTGGGGTGACTGTGGGGGAGTGTCAGGGAGACGACAACTCCACCACCTCCCTCAGCTCAGGCTGGCTGTGGGCAGGGCCTACGACAGGTTGCAACGGTCGGACCCACCTGAACAGCTCCACTTCGTCATCCCCGAACGGCTTGTAGTCCTCCTTCCCAAACATGCTGAGGTAGGCGGCCTTCATGTAGATGTAGGTGGCCTGTGTGAGGCAGAGCAACAGTCAGGTGTGAGCAGCCTGCCCTCCAATCGCAGTCCTGAACTGGCACCAGTACCTTACTGGAACCTCACTATGGCCCAGCATAGTAGCTGACATTATATTATCCCCAAGCCCCAGGGGAGAAACTGGGCGAGGAAGCCAAAGCAGCTTGAGGATTTGAGCTAGGAGTTAACTCCACGATGGGCCATGTCTAAGCAGCTGCCCTCTCCACTCTGAAGTAGCAGGGCAGCCTCAAGCAACTAGAGGATGCACGGGGTGGTGCTGAGGATAGGATGGAGACACAAAGACGGGGCAGCACGGGCTGCAGGGAAGCAGCCACTTCAGACTGGGCCCTTGAACGCCGATGGGAAGATTCACAGAGACAGAAAAAGGACCTTCCAGGCAAGGGGAACAGCCTGATCAAAGCCAGGGAGGGCAGAGATGTGTGTACGTAGGATACAAATCACTAGCATAAAGCATGGGATGTATACAAGAAGAGGTGTGAGGCTCGAAGAATAAACAGGGCCCTGGGTCAGGGCTCAGCTCAGGGCCCCTCGGTGAAACTGCCTTGCTGTGTGCCAGGCACTCTACATACGTCACCTCACTTGATCCCAGACAATGCCAGAAAGGAATCTGTACCCCACCTCTACTTCCTGGGACAGCAGAGCTGCTAGGAGCAGAGCTGGGAGTGACCCCAGGTTTGTGTGGCTTCAAGGGTCTGCCCACTGGTTCCACAGCTGCCACTGACAGCTGCCACAACCACCCCCCCACCCCCGGCCAAAGATCCATTCCGGAAAGCCGCTCCCCTTTGCTTGAAGTCCAGTGCCAGGGGAGTCTGGCTCTGTGCTGCCCTCCAGTGGCCAAGTCTTGAACCACAGCTCCTGCCACCTGGGGCAGCTGCCCAGCAAACAACTGTAGCGGATGGAGGAGGAAACGGAGCAGGACATCCTGGAGTCTAGTCTTAGGAGAGAGAAGGTGGGAAGCAACCTCCACCTGGGAGCCCCACCCATGCTGAAGCCCAGGGCTACTCCCAGTTCCAGTCTGCCCTCAGCACCGCAGTCTGCCCTTCACAACATGAGGAAAAGCTGGTCTTTGTGGGGTGTGCTGAGAAGCAGCTCCCCTCTGTGAAATCTGTTCCCCATCCCATCTGTAACCTCCCAGTGTCATCTGTGCCTTCTCCCTCTCCCCGGCCCTGGTAGTGAGCCACCAAGCCCTCATGATTTTACCTCCCATATAGCTCCGAAATCCCACTGGCCTTGCCCTAGCCCTCACCTCAATTATTGAACCAGCCTCCACAGCATCTCCCTGCTCCGGGCCACCAGGGATGTCTTTCTGCTGTCCTAGTTCACATGGTTTCCTAACTGATCTCCTGCTCCCCTCCTGGCCCTGCAAGCCATTTTCCATACCACCTGCCACTCTGACCTTTTAGAAGCAGATCACATCAGTCCCTCCTAGACATCGTCTCACGGTATCCCATCGCACTTAGGAGAACATCCAAATGCCCTGTCATGGCCTGCAAGACCCTGTGCGGTCCGCCCCGTTTCCTCTCCAGTTCCCCTCCACTGTTGCCCCCTCACTCGTTATCACTCTAGCCACACTGGCCTCCGGGCTGCTTCCAGAACACATCAACTCACGGCTTCAGCTTCCTCCCCCTCTTGCCCTAATATCTACCAGCACCCTCTGCCTGGACTGTTCTTCACGGAGATGTCCACATGGCTTGCTCCTTCACTTCATTCTGGTGTCTTCTCATAAAGACCTCCCCTGACCACACTGTTCATCACGCCCTGCACCCGTACCTTACCCGATTTTTCTTCATCGCACTTGCTGGAACCTGACGTTATCTTACACTGTACATCATCTATTTGTGTGTTTCTTGTCTCTCTCTCTTCCCACTAGAACATGAGCCTTGAGGGGACCTTTGCTTGGTTCATTTGTGTATGTCCTGCCCTAGAACAGTACCTGGCGTGTGAGCGTGCCCAGTGACTGCAGGAGGGATTTCTTAAAAGCACAAATCTAAGCCACAAGCATGGGCTCCCCCACTGTCAGACTGAAGCCCAAACAGCCACTCAGGGCCCTTGTGACCTGCTTTTCTGGCTCCTCCTCTTCTGGCCACTCTTCCCTATCACTCCTGGAACTCACCTCAGGCCTTTGCCTGTGCTGTCCCTCTGCCTGGGATGCCATTGTCCTTTCTCTGCCAGGCTCGTCTGCTGGCTTCCTCTAAGAGCCTTCTCCTACTCCCCCGGGACAGCGCACCCTCACTGAGTCCACAGGAATTAGGATGGACGCAGTGACCTAGAGTTGTGAGACCCATGGACATCCAAGTTACCAGGGGATGTTATGGGGCCACACTGACGGAAAACTGCAGTCACCTTCCCTGATGGGACTCCTGTCTCCCAGAGTTATCTGTTTGCCTATTGAGTCCACATATTTATTTTGCTGGATTATTCTACCAGGCTCTGTGATATCAGACAGTCCTTGTCCTCAAGAAGCTTAGAGCGAGTGGCTTAGAGGGGGACGGTCCCTCCACAGTCCCTCTGCACTCCCACCCACAAACCCTACGCCCCTGCAGTTCTCTCGGTTTGGGGAGAGAACTTCCACTTTCTCCCCTCTGCCACCCTAATTCCTCCTCCTTCAAGGTTCAGTTCAGACATCTCCTTTTCCAGAAGCCTTCCTTGTCCCCTTGGCTGGGCTCCCCAGGGATGCCTCTGAGCTCCCCTCAGATTCCCCCGTTACAGCACTGAGCACACAGTTGTCACCATCTGGTTTCTGGTCACCCAAGCTGCGAGTACTGCGGGAAACATGACGGGCCCAAAGGGACGACTCGGCATGGTACAGGCAGGGAAGAATGCTGAGCAGAGGGATCGGCACGTATGGCAGTGGCCACAGGCCAACTTCCTAGAGCTGGAAGTTGGTGGACTCCGGTGGCCAAGTGCTGGAGATTAGAGATGAATGAAGCCCCAGAACTCGGGGTGCCACAACCCCTACTTTCACAGGAAACCCTTCTGAGGAAAGTGTTGCAGAGAAAGAGGGGCTGACCTCTCCAAAGTCACAGAGCTGGAGACTGAGCCAAGTCAGGAAGCCAGACTCCCTGACACCTGGAGGCCTCATCCTCCCTCTGCTCCTCACAGCAGCTGTGTGGCCCAGCAAAGTCACACACCCTCTCTAAGCCTCAGCGCCCCTCCTGGGCCTGACGGAGATAACGCCTGGGCACACAGAGCTCCGTGAAAGCCCACTCCTCCTGCGGGCCCCACCTGCCCACACCCAGAGAGCTCCCTTTCAGCTTGGGCCCCAGGTAGGGGGACTGAAAAGGGACTTTCATGCAGAGGTGGGGGAGAGATGAGAAATAGGGATTTAAGGTCATTGAGACACAAGTGCTATGGATCTGACACTACCAGATGCTCTGTGATGATCTAGATGACTCTAAGACCCTTGGTTCGGAAGTCTGTGCTATGGTTACTATGATGATAACGCCTGATACTTATTTCATCACTCACCATGATGTTATAAGCTATAAGATGCTGCGCTGAGCATCTGTTTTGTTTCGTTTTGCCTACATGGCATCTCTTTAATGCCCACCCCCATCCACACTTATTCTGGGGCATCACCTCATTTTTCTTCTGGGGAACCACCCATCTTCTACTCCCAATCCATGAGGGGTCCTCCCACCCCTGTTTCCAGGCATTGACTTGTGATCTATGCCAGACCAATGAGGCTCTATCCAGGGACTCTGGTTGAAACCAAAGGGAAGATGTGAGTTAGGGGCAGGCAGCCCATAGCCACCCTGCCGGCAAATGGAGGGAAACTGCCTGTACGATAAAGATGTCATAGAGGAGAGCACAGTCCCAGGTGGAAAAAACAAGCCCAGACGACATATGAATTCCTGAATTCAGCCCTACCTGAAGTCAGATGTGCCTAGAATTTTCGGTTATATGAACCAATGAGCCTCTTATGTTTACACCCGCATAGTCAGGTACTATGTCCACTAGCTCCATGTGACTTTTTACATTTAAGTTAGTTAAAATGGAATAAAATTGAAGACATCCAGTTTCCCAATTGCAGTAGGCACATTTCGAGTGCTCGGTGTGTGCACGTATGGCTAGGGGCTACCACATTGGACAGTGCAGAAATAGAGCATTTCCGGGACTTCCCTGGCGGCGCAGTGGTTAAGAATCCGCCTGCCAATGCAGGGGACACGGGTTCAAGCCCTGGTCCGGGAAGATCCCACATGCTGCGGAGCAACTAAGCCCGTGCACCACAACTACTGAGCCTGCGTGCCACAACTACTGAGCCCACATGCCACAACTACTGAAGCCCGCACACCTAGAGCCCGTGCTCCGCAACAAGAGAAGCCCGCACACCGCAACGAAGAGTAGCCCCCACTCGCCGCAGCTAGAGAAAGACCACGCACAGCAACGAAGACCCAACGCAGCCAAAAATAAATTAATAAATTAATTACAAAAAAAGAAATAGAGCATTTCCACGGTAATGGAAGGTTCTGTTGGGCGACACTCATATAGACCATGTGAGTCACAACACACTTCTGTCCCTTGTGACTAAAAATCTCGACACACTCTAGTTCTAAAGGTCATCTGTTCCTCATGGTCTTTAGTTTTTTCCAACCCTGAGGCCTGGTAGAATTTGTGGTTTTGGTTAAATTCCAGCTGAGACATCTGCGTTCAGTTAGGGGTTTGGCCCTTGCTCTGGGGGCTCATGGCCAGTGTGGGTTGGCCTGGTCCCCCCGTGCCCCCAGCACATGGTGTCAGCCCACCTTGGACCAGGAGTTCTCCTTGCTGAGCAGGTCTGCGTAGAAGTAGGCCATCTTCCACTGGCCCTTGTAGGTGAAGCACCACATCAGCTCCCAGTAGCACATGTGGTGGAACTGCTTCCAGTGCTGCTGGGCCTCGCAGCACTCCTCGAACCGCCGGATGGCCTGTGGGAACCTGCCGGTCAGCCTCGGTGGGTGTCCCCTGGCCCGCCCCCGCCCCGCTCTCTGCACCCTCTGTCCCCGTCCAGCTCCACAGTAGCCCCAGCCTCCTGCCGTGCACAGCGGCCCAGCCCTGTGCCAGGCTCGGGGAGGGGGCGAGGGGCAGCATCAGGGAGACAGGAGTTGTGGCCTCCAGTCCTGGTTCTACCGCCTAAGTCTTACACGACCTTGGGCCCAGTTACTGCCCCTCCTGGGGACTCTGGTCTTGCAGCACAAAATGAAAGGGTGGGACAGAGCTATAATAGAGGGATAACAGGCAGTGGAAAGTGCTAATCTTAAAGTGATATAATAATAATGTCTATGCCTCAGAGCAAATTCCAAAGGTTCCAGAAGCCCCCAAGAAGTGACCTGGACCTGGGGCATCTGTCCTGCTGCCTGAGGAACCACAGCCAGGACCAGCGGGAGACGCCAGAACTCCAGGTCACGGAGTCCGTCCTGGGCCTTGGTTTAATGCTGGGGATTCTGCCCAGACCGTGACCCGCCCCTCTCTCACCCCTTCGACGGCTCCCTCCCACCTACAGAGCCCAGACTCCTTAGCCAGACCCTCAAGGTGCCCGCTTCAGCCCCTGGCACCAGGTTCCAGCCTGTCGCCCTGCCCTGGACAGCGGGTCTTCCCACCTCTCTGCCTTACTCAAGGATGCGGTAGCCTTCCATCTCCCGTTCAAATCCTACTCACCACAAATGCCAACTCCTCCCTCGTCTTCCCAGACTGCCTCAGTTGGAAGTGCCTCTCCTGCCCCCGCTCTCCCGTAAGTCCTCTCTTGGGGCCCTCCTCCCAGTCTGCCCTGTCCCTGAGTTCGTCTGTGTGTATCTGTCTTCCTACTGGCCTGGGAGACCCGAGGGCCCTCCAGCACCGGCTCCGACCCCCATTACTCACCGCGTCAACATTGCCTTTAATGGCTTCAATCCGCCCGGCAAAGAACAGGAAGATGGCGCCCTGCAACAACACGCATGTGGGTCCGTGTGGGTCCACAAGGCACACGTGGGCTGGGAGTATCTGCCAGGAGGTAGGGCTCACCTTAGGGTATCGCTTCAGGTAGGGTCTCAAGAGCTTCTCTGCCTCCGCAATGTTGACGTTCCCAGTGCCTGAAGGAGGTGGGGGGACAATAGGACACGTCACCATCCTCCCTGGTGATCCGCCTCCCAGCAACCTACCAGGGGCTTCTCAGGGTCTCCGTTTCCCCTCTGTGAAATGGGGATGATAACTCTTCTATCTCCAGGGTGATGTGAGGATTGAATTAGACAGTACAGCCTACAGCATCCTCACACCCTCTCTGAGGTGGGCATGACCCACCCCCATTTCACAGATGAGAAAACTGGGGCTGGAACCCAGTCACACTGTGAGGAAGCGAGTGGTCAGCAGGCCAGGCCCCAGGACAGTTGACTCGGCTCTGCTGTTTCTGGTTTCAGTGCCCCATCCTCAGTCCTGGGGGCCCGAGCAGGGTCTGCAGCCCCTTGCCCTCTCACCCCCTGCCCTTAGAGCCCACCAAAGCCCAGAGGCCCCAGCACTCGCCCCGAGCGCACCCCTACCGAGCACAAAGGTGAGGAAGGTGTGGTAGCACAGCAGCAGCATGACACAGAGCACGGCGCGGAAGCTGTGCCCCGATGCCCCCTCCTCCAGCTGCCGCAGCCCGTAGTCCTGGAGGAAAGACGGGGACTGGCTGAGGCCAGCAAGGCCTGAGCTCCCCAGGGTCCTCCATGGGACCCAGGGAGGGGGGGAGGGGCCTGGGAGGTCACTGGACAGGCGTGAGGGCAATGCTGCCACAGAAGAGACCAGAGAGTGCTGGACTCCGAGTCTGGAGCCCTGGAGGCCGGGTCAGCTGCTCCCAGGCTGTGCAACCTCGAACAAGGGGCTGCCCCTCTCAGTGCCTCAGCCATCTTCCTGAGGGCAGGGGACACCGCTGCCACAGCCAGGGCAAAGGCGTGGGTGTCCCCTACCTCCTCAATAGCCCCTTCCCCATTCCCCCCTTCATTCACTTGCTCAGTCCCCATAGTGGGCACCCAAGCCCTGAGTAGCCCCAAGTCTGGTGGGGGAGTAGGAATGACAAGGAGGCAGATAATCCTAACCACAGGCTCAGGGCACAGACAGGGCTTTGGTAAGGTTGCTCAGTTCTTGTATTAATTGTTATGATTATGTTCTGATCGTGCCACATAATACGGGTTTTCTGTGTAGTAATGTTTCCTTTAAATAAATTTAAGTAAAAAATGTGAATCACATTTGAGAAAAATGATACATAAGTAATAATACAGAGGTGTGTGGACATGGCAAAAATCAGGAAGGGCTGGAGAAAGTCCAAGTTGGAGAAACATTGACCTGATGTAAAAAAAAAAAGAAAAAAAAAGCCCCTTGTTTTACAAAACAAAGAGGCCCAGAGGAGGGCGGGCCTTGCTCAGACTCACAGGGAGAAGGGGATGAGGCTGGACTGACCCAGGGCCCCTGACTTCCAGGTTAATGCTTCTTGTACCACATCAGGCCTCCTCCACCAGGGAGCCCTCCCTGATCTGCTACCTGGCACTCAGATTCCTGCCCTCAGTAAAGCCTCTGGGTGCTTGAATCCTCTGGTTTCCACCTCAAGGCCCAATGCACAGTAGGGCTTCCCTTGGGCATCTCCCAGACCAGAAAATGGTCCCAAGGGAAGGGACTTGCTCAAGGTCTTCTGAGGGGAGAAGGACCAGGTTCCTGACACCTGCCAGGCTCAGAGAATATGGTCCCAGGCCCCTGAAGGACCCCAGGAGCTGCTCTTCACACCCACCCTTACCCGAGAGCTTCTCTACCCTGGGAAGGGCCTGGCAGGGATCAATGGCCTCATTTGCAGGAGAGGAGACTGAGGTCCAGAGAGGTCTGAGCCTTGTCCAGGGCCACACACTGAGGGGGGCGGAGCCAGGACTGGCACTCAGGCCCCGCAGCCCCTCAGCCTCACCCTGTTCAGCTGAGCTCCAGCCCTGGGGCTGAGCAGGTTGAGATCCCCAGAAGGAAGGTGTTTACCTTGTTTCCTGAAAACCCCACGAACTCTAGCAGCCGCAGGATCCTGGTAGGAAGCATGGACAGCGTCTGCAGGAAGAGGCAGGTGGACACGTGAAGGGGTGGGGGCTGACCCTCCCAATCTCCAAGTCTCCAGAGTCCTGGGGGTAATCCCAGAGGTGCAGGGCCCATCTCTGGAATGCCCATGAGGAGGCCCTAGGTTTCTGAAAGCCAGCTTCCCCAGATAGAGGCACTATAGAGTGACAATTAGGAGCCGACTGCGTCTAAATCCTAGTCTCACCACTCCCAGCTCGGGCAGCTACATTTCCTCTCTCTGCCTCAGTTTCCTCATCTGTAAAATGGGAATAATAATAGCCCCTACCAGATAGATCAAATTAATATATGTGAAGCACATAATAGGGCCTGCACCTAGCAGTTAGCTATTGTTATTACACTGAATCCCTACTTTGTAACAGGGGCTCTGTCATTGCATGTGATCCTCAGAACAGTCCTGCAAAGAAGGGATCACTAACCCCTTTCAACAGACGGAGAAACAAGGCACAGATAAGTGACAGGATATGTCCGAGGCACCACAGCTCATCAGAGGTGGAGCCGGTTCTCGAACCGCAGGCAGGCCAGCTACAACCTGCTGAAGTACCTGATGCACTTGGCAGCTTGTGTTTCCCAGCACTTAGGCCGGGATCACTGCTCCCATTTTACACAGGGGGAATCTGGAACCCAGAGAGCGGTAGGGACCCCCATCAGAACAGGCTTTGCCTAGAGGGGAGAGAGCCACCCCCTGCCACACTCACACTTTTGGGTAAGTCCCTGGCCACCCAGGGCCAGAAGTCTGAATCGTCAGAGAGCGGCTCCTCCTTCCAGGAGCAGGCACAATTCTTTCTTCTGAGCCTCCCTGCCTCAGCTCACTGTTCCCTCTGCCTAGAATGCCCTTCCTGCCTGGAAAACGTCCTCCGCTTATGGATCCTTTCAGATCCAGCTCAAATATTATCCCCTCTGTGAAACCTTCCCGGGCTCCCCCAGGAAGGAGTCCTGGCTCTCTGTTCCCTGTGGGTCGTCAGCTGTTTCCAGGCCTGTCTCCTTCCCTGCCACTGGTCAATGTTTAACCACCAGCCCTCCGGGGAGGAAAAGGCCCTGATGTATTGTGTTTGTCAGTTTCTGGTGCTGTAAACGCTGCCACTATAGTGGATTTCAAGCTTTCAACTTGCCCTGGGAAGAAACGCAGAGAAGGGACTCTGGAGCCACGGCCAGCCCCCATCTCCACCCCAGCTGTGAGCCCCCAGGCTGGCCACGTGTCTGCTTCATCACTGGGGCGTGGGATAGTAGCTCGGCAGAGACCATGGGTAGGGCAGGGATGTGCAGGCAAGGTTAATCTTGAACCCAGACACTGTGGATGTGGGAAGGGCATGCCCACTCACCAGGTTGAAGGCTCCCACACCGAGCTTCACTCCTCCTTCAAAGTGCCTGTGGTTCTCTCCCTTGCAGTACTGTGAGGACTGCACGAGGCTGTCTAGCTCCCTGCGGAGGGATGCAAAGCCTGTTTCAGCCACATGTGGGGGGCTGGGTCCTCTTCCAGCTGGGCCCAAGTTGCCCCTATACTCCTAGCTGATCTCAGAACTCCCTGGCGGTGGATCTGTAACCGTCTGGCAATCCGGAGAGCTGATATTCGAGGAATTTCTAGCCCCATCTCCCATCGTAATGACACATCGCTTGCTCTTGAATTTCAGCTATATCAGCCCTAGCACACCCGCCTTGTCCAACATCTAGGCATTTGCTCGTGCTCTGCATTCTGTCTAGAACAGTTTCTCAACCTCGGCACTACTAGTATTTTAGGCTGGATAACTGGATAATTTCTTTGTTCAGGTGGGGGCGGGAGGCCGTCCTGTGCATCCTGGGGTGCTCAGCAGCAGCCCTGGCCTCTACCCACTGGATGCCAGCAGCAACCTCCCCAAGTATGACCATCAAAATGTCTCCAGACACAGCCAAACGTCTCGTGGGAGGAAAAACCGCCCCCAGTTGGGAACCACTGGGTTAACTCCAACACCGCCTCCTTGAGGAAGTCTTCCTGGAGTCTCTTGGTTGGAATCCAACCCTCTTTCTTCTGGTCACCAATAGCTCAGAGTCCATATCCCAGTCTGTCTGGGGCAGGACAGGGGCTTTAAAGATGTACCTGCCTCCCTTCCAGGCCACGAGCATCTTGAGGGCATTTGCTCAGCAAACACGGACTAAGGTTTCTCTGTGCCAAGCACCAAAGGACGGCAGGGAGCAAAGCCATCAAGCTGCTGTCCTCACAACTCTCCCGCTCTTAGAGACAGACCCCTATCGAGTCACTGTGAGGATGAAGAGGAACCCTGGAGCCTGGCCTAGTTTGGGGTTCTGGGAAGGTTTCCTCAAGGAGCTGACATCTGAGCTGAAAACTGAGTGATGAGGAGTTAGCCTGGCACAAAGTGTTCCTGGCAGAGAAGACAGTGTGTCCCAGGGCCCTGAGGTAGAAATCTGGCATGTTTGAAAACCTGAGGGCAGGCCCAAATGTCTGAGGCACGGTGGGACGGGAGCTACGGCTAGGAGGACAGGGGGACCTCCCAGGAATGACTCGGCAGGACCCAGGAGTTTATTCTAAGAGCAAGAAGGGGTCTCAGGAGTTGGCACGGACTGACTGACCTGACAAGGTTTGTGCTTTGAAAACATCACTCTGGCAGCTGGTAGGAAGACTACAAGGGCCAGAACACAGTCTGGTTTCCCTGAACAATTCCAGCAGGACCCACAAAGCAGTGTGGTGTCCATATACTGCATGGTGTGCTATACCCCAGTACTACCTGGAAATCAAACTCACCATCTCTCTGCAGGGAAATAGTCACATTAAGTGGGGAAAATAAAGATGATAGTCTCAAGTCAATTCAAGTCAACTTTTAATGGAAAAGGAGTTTCAATGCCAAAATTGGGGCAGTGGGGAGGGTTAATTATTTTCAGAGCTTTTCTGATTTTGGAATTGTAGATAAGGATTGCGGGACCACATTGGGCAGAAGTGCTCTGGACTGAGTCTTCAGTCTTTGCTCCATAAACACGGCCTACGTGTGGCCCAGTGCTGAGATGGCATGGAAATAATCTGGCTCTCGAGGAGCTCCCAGTTTGGAGAGGTGGTGTGTATTATGTAAGCATCATCCCTGTGTACTGGAGGGTTCAAGGAAGGCTTCATGGGGAAAGCGGCATTTGGACGGGGCCTTTACGGATGTGTAGGAGTCCTGCTGCTATTCTCAAAATGACTGTTCCTGTGTCTTTCTCCCACCCCCCACCAGACCGAGCTGTTTGTACAGAACATGTGCCTTGTATTCCCCTAGCTCAGGGTCAGGCACAGAGTCCGCTCTCAGGGGGAGCAAAGTCCGCTCTCAGGGGGACCAAATGAACGGATACACCCAGGGGAATAATATTCCAGAAAACTGAAGTCCTGAGGGTACAGAAATCTATCTGAGGTCACATAGCATTCTAGGTTTCCTGCCTCCAGCCAGTGCCCTCTACCTCCCACAAAGCAGCCTGAGGGACACAGGGCAGTAGACGCTGTGGCCTCAGGCCCCCCAGGCCAGCCCCACTCACTTGTAGGTCTGGTAGCTGTTTCGAACTTTGATGCCACCCTTGATGAAGCTCACCATGTTCTCGTCCTGCAGGGGGGAGAGATGCTAAGAGCCGGGCCTGGGTGGGTAGCCACAGGCTTGAGAGGGATCATACAAGGCTCTGGATACTGCCTGGCCCTCCCTGGGCCCAGCTTTATGAGGGGCCCCACGTGGGTGGGGTCAGAGGCCTCCCCACTCTACCCCTGGTACTTGAGATAAGGGCCTTGCTTGCCAAACAAGACCTCCACAATGCCCAGGGCTCAACCACAACCTCCTGTAGCAGGCTCATATGTACATATACTATGTGTGTGGAGAGAGGCCTGGAGGAGATGCTCCCACCGGTTAACAGGGGCGGAACTGTGGGGAAGGAAGGGAGACGTTCATTTTTTGATTGCTTGTGTTTTTTTACAACAAGCAGGTATTTATCACATTTGTAATTTAAAGCGCCAGTACCTGGGGACTTCCCTGGCAGTCCAGTGATTGTGACTCCGTGCTTCCACTAGAGGGGGCACAGGTTCAAACCCTGGTTGGGGAACTAAGATCCCGCATGCCACACAGTGCAGCCAAAAAAAAAAAAAGCACCAATACCTACAGTCCACCTGACAGTTCCACTCCCAGGTATACACCCAAGAGAAATGGATGAACATCTTCAAGAATGCTCACAGAATCACGGTTCATAGCAGCCAAGAACCGGAAACAACCCAGATATCCTTCAGCAGGATAATGGATAAACAAACTGGTACATTCATAGAAGGCAGTATTACACTGCCACGTACGGTTGGGTGAAGAAAGCAAGTCCCACACAGCTTGAGGCCTTAAGAAGCTCAAAGGCAACTAAAACATAACAATATGCTGTTCAGACATGAATAGGAAGCCGAGAAAACCATTTTTAAAAAATAGGGCGGGGTGGCTTCCCTGGTGGCGCAGTGGTTGAGAGTCCGCCTGCCGACGCAGGGGACGTGGGTTCGTGCCCCGGTCCGGGAAGATCCCACATGCCGCGGAGCGGCTGGGCCCGTGAGCCATGGCCGCTGAGCCTGCGCGTCCGGAGCCTGTGCTCCGCAACGGGAGAGGCCACT